TCTATCAAAATTTCTAGGGGCTATACTTTATTGGTCTACTGATTATCACTTCCCAGAACTACAATTTGCACTTGAGATGTTGTTCTCTATTAATGCTTGGGCTTCTTTGTTTGCAACTCATCACAGCTGCGTTTGGATTAATTTTTTTTTACCGTCTCTTTTTGGGTATACTTCTTTTTCCTTTTTTTTCTTTTTTTGGGTGTTGTAAGCAGTTAAGAATTCCGCCTCTTTTGAGTGCATCATGTATTATTTTTGGTTTTTAGTGTGGGAACTTACACTGCCAAATTTTTGTACTTTTTTTATTAATAACGCGTAGGGAGACGTATAATGCTCCTTTAATCAATATATATATTCCACTCCTCAAATCATTGCCAGACCTCCCTTCCTCCTTGAAATATCTGACTCTATATAGACTTGATAACCTACAGTGCCTGTCATCTTGTTTGACGGCCATCTCATCCCTCACCTATTTAGAATTAGAAAGCATTCCACTCTTCAAATCATTGCCAGAACTCCCTCCCCCTTTGAATTATCTGCCTATAAATAGTCTTGATAACCTAGAGTGCCTGCCATCTTCTTTATCGGCCATCTCATCCCTCATCAGTTTAGGTTTAGATAGCATTCCACTCCTCAAATCATTGCAAGACCTCCCTTCCTCCTTGGATTCAATAACAGTAGAAGATTGTGAGCCAGAGTTGATGAAGCCATATAACAAATATTGAGGCTCTGATTGGCACAAGATTGCATACGTTCCTTGTGTCAGCATTAATTTTATTTAAGACTTGTTGTGTTTGTAATTAAATTATAAAATCATTGTTTTGCCGTTAAATTTTAATTTCAATTGTAGTTAAAATATGATTTGTGAATTTGGATTGGATTGGGGAGTCTTATACAGCATTAAAGTTAAAATATTGATGATTTCTTCTCCTCAAATTTGAATGTATAAATATATTTGTTTGGATATATGGATTTACCTATTCTTATAGGTAGGAGGATCACACTAGTTGGGTTAATTTGGACTTGTAGACTCTTATTTCAAGATTTGGACATTTATTTTAAATTATTAAATTCGTCAACTCTAGTCTTTGCGAAGAGGAAGATCAGACTAGTTGGGGTGATTTGGACTTGTACTCTTAATTGAAGATTTGGACATTAATTTTAAAATTACTAGACTCGTCAAATCTAGTCCTTGCAGGGAGGAAGATCAGACTAGTTGGGGTGATTTGGACTTGTAAACTCTTATTTCAGGATTTGAACATTTATTGGGGCTTGCTAATCCCCAACTATATTCCTTGCGAGGAGAATGATCAGATTAGTGGATAGGACTTACAACCCTGCCCTATAGACAGTGTGGCCTGATTAGCTTGCGCACTACCCATTAGTTGAGTATTCAACGCATTGGTTGAAGCACATGCGGGTGTTTAACTTTTATATTTTTGAGCTATTTTAGCTGGAGTATTTGGTATGTTAAGACAATTTATATGATTTTAAAACATGAGTTAAATCAAATAGTTGCACATAAGCTTTCATTTTAAGCATTTTATTGCCTTCTGTTTGCTAGCAGACACGTTGCGAATCCAATGGCGATAAATTTCAAGTTAAGAAAACTCAATATTTGAATTATGCTTCGCCCCTAGGAGCCTAAGCCCGACTTGTCTTCTGTGCATCTAAGTGTTGCTCATCAACCTTGAACTATATTTTGTTGACAAATGGTAAAGAACCACAAAGTTATGAATAAACCTTACAAGATAAAAATTCGAGCAAGTGGGAACTGATCATGAAAGAAGAAATGGACTCTCTGATAGAAAATCAGACATGGGAGCTGATAGAACTTCTATCAGGGAAGAAGGCATTACACAACAAGTGGGTGTATCGAGTGAAGACTTAGCATGATGACAGTAAGAGGTACAAGGCTAAACTTATTATAAAAGGCTTTCAGCAGATGCATGGCATTGATTATTCTGAAATTTTTTCTCTTATGGTGTAGCTCACAACCATCAGAATGGTATTGTCCATGGTTGCTACCAAAGACTTATTCCTTGAGTAGTTAGTTGTGAAGACAGTCATTCTTCATGGAGACCTTGAAGAAGACATCTACATGCACCAACTTGAGGGATTTGCGGTACATGGAAAGGAAGATTCAGTTTGCAGATTGAAGAAGAGTGTGTATGCCTGAAGCAAGCTCCTAGATAGTGGTACAAGAAATTTGATAATTTCATGCACAATACAGGGTACTGCAGATGTCAGGCAAGAAAGTTTGTTTTTTAGCTAAATAACATCCTCAATACTCCAAAAATTGTTTTACTAATAATTTTATGATTTTTTTTCAGTGGTCATGGAATTTATATTCAGAATATTTTTTCTTTGATGACTGCATCAGAAACAATTGATTTTTTTATCCAATTGATGTAGGATGATGGAAAAAGAGTTAGATTTTGGTTATATGCATATTTGAATTTAGATAAATTTTTTTATGTATAGCTACCCATATAGCAAATTTCAAGACAACAATCTTGTCGAATATATGAAGGACTGAGTTTAACTCAATACAATTTATAGGTCAATTCAGCCTAGCTTAAGTGATGACCGGATGATTGGACCTAGTCAACACAATAAAGTTGTCATTTTCTCCATACATATACGATTGGCAAATAACTACTCATCTACTATGCACATGACGAACAAGAACTCATTAATTTTGTTTGTGACAAACAGATGCTTGTCGGTTTAGCTTGCATTGGCTTACTCTTCAATCTGAAAACTGGTTTCCTTGGTTAGGCGCCCGATCAAGCTACAAATCATCATATATAACAATTGTATTTTACTTGCTTTTATAAAGCATATATCTAGTCATTTATGTAACATAATAATTAACATCCCAAATGTATAAGTAGGGTCAAGCTTGGAATTTTCAGTAGGCAAGTCAAGGCAATAAATTTTTGTAATTTGTTCTTTCAATTAATAAGACAAATTTTCTTTTTACAGCTATTTCTCTTCCGAAGTATGCTATTTTTTTTTATTTTTTGAAGGGTAAGTATGCTAATTTAGGTGGTGTGAGTTCAGGAATAATTTAAGTTCCAGCATTTTATGTTTAATGAATGTTGAAAAGATGGATTTGCCAGAAGCTCACATGAAAAGATTGGAAGGGTTGTGTTGCATCAATGTTTTCTAGTCCATACATTATGAAAATTCAGGAGATTGAATCTTGAAAGAAGAAATGAGTTTTTTGGTTCAGGGTTGAAATCAAAAGAAGAAATTTTTTGAGAAAATCAAAGTCAAAAGAAGGAATATCTATTGTAAATGATAGAAAGAGTACTTTGAAGAGGAAAGAAAAGAATGAAGTTCATGATAATTCTTGTAAGCCATTTCTCTCATCCTTCTAGTTCTTTTATTTACTTTATAGTAGTTTCCATTTTATCGGCGTTGATGATATATATTTAGGCATTCCATGAATAGAATTATTTATGTATGAAGAGTCCTAATGTTCTAAGATACTGAATTAAGTGATGCATGAAAATGGGCATTAAATCTCATAATCATGTTTAAATAACGTCAAGATATGGAATAGGCCAAAATATTGCTCAACTGAGTGGTATTGTCCTGAGCTGAAATATTTTCTTATTTGACTTGGTGTGTCTAGTTTGTTCTGTTGGCGCTCTATTTTAACATCTAATTCATATTAAAAAAAAATATGGTGGCTGTTGTCATTCAATATATCATTGCATTGCTCAACTTAATATATTTAAATGATAAATACTAATATAGTTTATCCTATTTATAGTTAAAAAAACACCCTAAAAATGAATTAGGGAATAATTATAAGTGAACACCCTTGCATTGGATTTGCCCACACCACTTAGTGGGAGGCTTGTTGTTGTTGTTGTACTCTTACGTCGGATTGATAACATGATTTGCAATATCCAGCAATTAATTTTTTGGGTTTACTACCCCTTAGCAATTAACTTTCTTGACCACCAATGTGTTGTAATGGATAATCTCTAGTTGGGAAGATTGAAAGAAAGCTTTTTCTTCCGGGGCTGGTTGATGTGTCAAATCTATTCAACTCTTTTCTATTTGTTTTCTTAAAGTGAATATTATAACTAAAAAATGATATTGAAAACAATAGTAAGGTGTTGATGATTCAACTTTTTGCCAATTTCCACAAATTGAGGATTCAATTGACTTTTGCATTAAATATTATATATAAAAAATTAAATAATGCACTAGGATGTGCAATGGGATTTTGTTGATTTCATATTTATTTTAATTAGAATAATATATATGTATAGTCTTTGGTCTTATAAATCTTGAAACATATCTTAAAATGTATTATGGTAAGCACGAACTTGTAAGAGGATAAAAGAATAGAAGCATTCAGTTAAAGAGTTTTGAAAGCACATCCAACTTAATGATTTATGGCTTATCTGCCTTTTTATTTCAATAAAAGCATGTTTTTTGTCATCTAGTTTTAACAGAATATCAACTAAGTAATTAATGCGATTAATTAAAGATATGCATCATTTTTATATTAATTGTGACAATGATAATTGGATTAGTAAAATATTACTCATTTACTTTCAAATAATATTTTTCACACTTCAAATTTCAAAGCTAATATAGGGGTATTTACATCCATACCAACCAATTCTTATGAATTTACACATCTAACTCCTAAATTTTGCTTTTTATATTCATTCAACCCAAATCTTTCAAATAACATTAATATTACCACTTATTAAACTTTAAAAAACTGACACATTTTGATATATAAGTTAAAATTGTGAGATGGAATATATGTAATTCTCCATAATATATATATATATATATAAAAGTAATCTACTATTCTGACTTCAGCTTTTTTATTATTTACACATCACCGACGTGCTCTAGTTCAGACGTGCCTCCCTCTCTCCTATCCTCCATAGCTCTCTACAGTCTTATATAAACTTAACTACAAACTCAGCTAAACCATTTAAACATATACTATCCCTCCTCCCGCCATGGCCATCACTCTCATGCACCGGCGATCAAACCTACACCGTCTTCCGACCAAAACCGCCGCCTTTCTTCCACCTCCGCCCCCAAAAACCGCCTCCTTTCTCTCCTTCTCCACCTCCTTCCTCCTCCTCATCCTCCTCACCATCTGCTCCCTCTCCGTCTTCCTCTCCACCTCCTTCCAAATCTGCTTCTCTTCCCGCCAACTCGACTCGTACTGCATCTCCGGCGGCTCCTTATCTCATTCCCTCCGCCACCTCCTCCCCCCTTCCAACCTCTCCTCCACCAAACGCATCCCCGCCACCACTAACGAAATCACCGAAGCCATTAAATTAGTCGAGCAAAAACTCCACACAATTCGCACTTGGGCCGCTGCATCCAACTCCACCATTTCCTGCGACAATAAAGGAATTTTCGTCTACGATTTGCCTTCCAAATTCAACCATGATCTCACAGCCCAATGCGATAAGCTTCTTCCATGGACCGATCTCTGTGAATTTTTAGTCAATGATGGTATCGGTCGGCCCATTCAAGCTCTCGGCCCGGCCTGGTACCGCACCCATCAGTACTCCCTCGAGCCCATCTTCCACTCTCGGGTTCTCAACCATCGCTGTCGGGTCACCGACCCGGCCCAAGCCCGACTCTTCTACGTCCCCTTCTACGCCGGCCTCGACGTCCTCCGCTGGCACTTTGCCAACGCTTCCATTTCAGATAAAGACAGGCTTAGCAGCGAGCTCATCCAATGGCTCCAAACCAGGCCCGAATGGGCCCGACGAAGCGGTAAAGATCATATGTTTGTTCTCGGTAAAATCTCATGGGACTTTCGTCGGGTCGGCGATGGGCCGTGGGGCAGCAATTTCTTATCTTTGCCCGAAATGCAATCTCCCTATAAGTTTCTTATAGAGCGGCAGCCATGGGAATTGAATGAGATCGGGATTCCACACCCCACCCATTTCCACCCGCATTCCGACGACCATATTGCCACGTGGCAGGCTAAGGCGGCCTCCTCGATTCGTGGAAAGCTGGTGAGTTTCGTGGGTGCGGCGCGGCCTGAGTCAACGGAAAGCATAAGATCGGTCCTCATTAGGCAGTGCGGGGCGGCGCAGCCGGAATGTTGGTTCCTTGACTGCGGCGGCGGCGGATGCGGCGATCCGGGAGATGTGATGGCGGCGTTTATGGAATCGGAGTTTTGCTTGCAGCCGCCCGGGGATAGTCCAACGAGGAAGTCGGTTTTTGATGGGCTGATTGCGGGTTGCATACCGGTTATTTTCAACCCGTTTACCGCTTATTACCAGTACCCGTGGCATTTGCCGGAGGATTACCGGAAGTATTCGGTTTACGTGGATGAGGAGGAGGTGAGGGAGGGGAAGGTGGATGTGATGGAGAGGCTGAGGATGGTGGAGCCGGATAAGAGGAAGGAGATGAGGAGGTATATTATATACGAGCTTCTGCCTGGGTTGCTGTATGGGGATAAGGGATCGCAGTTTCGGAGATATCGTGATGCTTTTGGAATTGTTATGGATAGTATGGTTGAGTTAGCTGGTAAATTAGATTAGTGAAAAATAAGTTTTTTTTTTTTTTTCCTTCTTCTTTTAAATCATAATATTTTAATATGTAAAATGATTTAAATTTTAGGGGTATTTACTAATATTTCATCTAGGCCTGGTGTTTTAACATAAGCAACGCTATTGAATCCTTTAGCACATAGGATCATTTATTGTTTGTGAGTTAATACAACTTACTAAAGGCTTTTTTTTTAAAGAGGATGGTATGAGAGAAGTTGATGGTTGTTTTGCTAAAGCTCTTGCATCTCATTCTATATTATACAGAGAGAGAACTATTGGGAGTCTAGTTTTTAGAGAGATAGACCCTCATCGCCCTTTCTCATTTTTATGTCTGAGAGAAAAGAAATATAAGATTATATTTTGTACAATGTTACGCATGTTTGCATTGCCTTCATGAAAAGATCGCGATGTGGGTGTCAGATAGTGTCTTGAGTATGGACGAAAGCATGAATCTCAATGTTATGATGATCTTTCTCCGCGGCTCATTAGCCCCTAATTTGCTCATCCACTTCGACGGTTGAACTTAGCTTTACCATTTTGGCAGGTGGACTTTGTTTTATTTGCTTATATGGGCCTTCAAGGATTTCTTGTCTTTGTGCAAATCTTCCTTAAATATGTATCGCCATATTTTTGCGTATACAAACACCTAAAGTGTACTTTTTATGTACGTACAACTCAAATCTTACATATCTCAGAAAAAAAAAAACATATTCTTTTTAATTAAAAAAAATATTGAAATACACATTTTCATTCATGACGAAGCTTAGGTGTTAGTTAAAGAAAACATAGGAATTAAGTGGTATATATGTATATCTTCTAAATTTTATGACATGTAATGCATGTAGATTACTTTATTTTTTTATGAACAAATATGTTTTATAAATTTGATGACATCAAAAGTGATACGATCCTAGTTCAAATGAGCCCAAATTTAGTACTCCGTGAGTTGAAAACTTCAATACATTAATAAAAGTGTTAAATAATCTATAACTGTTGTATACTCGTAATCAAACTGAGTAAATCAGAGAAATCTAATGGGTCTGAGATCACTCATTTATAAGGTTATCAAGGCAATTAAATGTTGAATAAATGGTTTATGAGGAAAAGAATTAATATGGGTTATAATTCTATTGTGCACATTACTTAATATAAAGTATTTACATTCATAAAGTATATGTATTTACAAATCTCCTATCTAAACTTTCATATTTGCATACGTAGCTCTTTGGTGCTTTAAATCTTTCTCTGAAAACGTGTATTTTATTTTAAAAAAATAAAAAACATATGTTATTCATGTAAATATAAAAATTAAGTCGGAGATACGTAAATACTATAATTATGTTCTATGTAGATAAATTCCCCCAAAAAACAAATATTAAAACTTGACATTTAAAGAGTCCTAGATGTACTTAATATTAGTTAAAAAAAAATGAAAATTTGCACCAAAATATAATTTTTTTTTATGTATTTACATGTCTAATATCTAAACTTTCAACTTATGCATGAAAAAATGCACTTTGCTTTTTAGTAAATGTACTAATTAGAAAAAAAAATGATAAATAATAATGCATACAGGTATAGTTTTAAAATTAATTTTACAAAACGGACCATTTATGAATATTGATAATTTCAAATGTACCCCCCATTTTCCATCATTGTCCATGGCGAATCTATTGAGAACTTGGAGTCAACTCCTCATTCTTAATGCTTCACATGATGAAAATACATCAATTTTCAGATTTTTTTTTTTCTTTCCTAAATAATTTAACGTTCCGGTTCATATCATTTTCGTTGATTCGTCGCTGTCTTCCAAAGTCTAATGTAAATATGAGGCACACCCATTTAGAAACGTGCCACCCAGTTCCTATGTATTTACATATCTGACACTTTTTATTTATTTATTTTTACATTTATACCATCTAAGTCTTTTATATCTCATAAAAAATACTAATATTTTAACTGACAAAAGAAAATGAAACACAGCTTATCTTGAATAGATAAGGTAGCATATTTGTAAAAAATTAAGTTTACATGTTGGAATATAATTACATAAAAATTGAGCGGTCTTTTTGTAAATTTTTTTTATTATTGTGAGGAAGAGATTAATTTTATGCGGCCCAGTAATAGAGTGTTGTACCGAGGAAAGAAGGTTAATAGAGGAAGAGAAAGAGGAAAAGAAGAGAATGACTTCTCCTGTCGAGTAAGGAGGATCGATCCCTAGCACTTCGACCCATCTTATTTACATTGTTATGTGTTAAAAATTATGACAATATAAATTTATTATTTTCATGTCAATCTTCACTAAAAATCTCATCTGAATAGGGAAAAAAAATTTCTTAATAGATAATAAAATTTTAATATAGAGATTACAAATATAGAGGAATTTATAAAATTTGGCTCAATTAAAATAATCTGCTTCGTACAATAAATCAATAAAATGTGTCCTTCCCTTCAATTAGTGAAAATGATTTATGAAGTTGAGATTGCTATCTTGATCTCACAAGAATGTTGTGAAGATTATTACAAGAGCAGTGGAGTGATGATTGTGAATTTGTGGATGTTAATGTTTCTAGAAATTAAAGACTGCTACTGCATGTTATTGATGTTTGAGTGAACAACAATAAGGGCTGATATTAGGCAACGAGGGTGGAGTGATAGCAACCAAATAATGTCGGTTATCCAATGACACTCAAATAATGGTTGCGACAATATGATCCATCATATTCTTGATAATTGCGAGGTATTGGCTCATAGCGTTGGCATGATAACGTTGTGAGGCTCATTCTTAAGTTGAATCACTTGAGATCTATTGGTTGCTTGGCAAGACTGTATTAGATTTCAATCGTATTGTTGAGATGGAGGATGTGAAGAAAGAGAGAGGGCTAGATGGTGGAGAGCATTTCTGCAGCAATGTTCTAGTCGATAAGTTGTCAGTAATTTTATTCTTGATTTTCTATATCATTGTCATATTCATTTTCATACTAGATAGTTTTCTGATGTTGGCGGGTTGGTGGCTATATTCCTGATGGTTGACATCAAAAACTTTAGAGAGTTTGATATGCTGATTTTATTTTTCTTAGAAAAAGATGTGTCAGGTTCTTGGTTGTTTAGGGTGAAAGCCGAGAATCCTGATTCCATGATGCAATGGGTTAGATGCTCTAATACCATATAAGAAACCTGCCCCAGAGAAAGTAAGGAGAAGGAAAGAAAAGAGAGTAGAGGAATCAGAAGAAGGAGAAGAAGAAGGCAAGCCAGAAGAAAGCTAAGTAGCACAACTCTCAAACTTCTCTATATTTTATTATTTTTGAATGATAGAGTTACAAAGATTAAATAGAAGTTGAAATGACAAACTTGTAGATAAGAGAAAGAGCCAAAATGACAATATGTTGCTGATTACATAAAACAGAGACTAATATAAAGGCTTAAATGCTTCACATGAAACCTAATAGGAAGAACCCTTTGAGGCATAGCATAGGATATGCTGAAGAGCTGAGGGATTAGCGACTAGATGAAGGAGGAGATGCCTAGATATAAACTAAAATTGCTAATTAGATTCTCTAATCGAGTAATTTGTTTTGATTGCAATCATGTACAATTCAAATATCATTTGGTCCTTCGAATAGTATCATGATGTTTCTAATTACGTATCAAATAACTAACTTTGGCTCGCTTGGATTCCAATCAAAATATTTTTGACATTTTTTGGCTCATGTCATTCAAACTCAATTAAATTTTGGCTCAATTGAAACTTTGCGAAGTTCATTCAAAATCTTTATTTTGACTTGATATCTCAAAATATGTAAGAAGGAACAATTTTCTGTTCAATTAAATTTTGGCTCAATTGAAACTTTGCGAAGCGTAATAAACAATTGAAGTCTCTCATAACCAAAAATATTCTAAATTGTTTGATTTATAATTCTTAGAGTTCTATCATTTAACCATTCAACAAAAAGTATTTGCATCAATGGGGGGGGTTTTAAATCATTTGTTTTTACTTTAGAGATTAGTGCAATAAATAATTTGCAAGCAACACTAATTTTAAATCAAAGGTAAAATTTTTATATCCTTTTTTAAATCCTCACTCAAATATTAAAATTTATCAATAATTACATTCATAGCCCGTGAAATTATGTTATTTACAAAATCAAGCACCCAGATGATATTTTTTAAGTGTTGATCTGATGCAGTTATGTCTGCCACAATCAAACCTTGAAGAATATGATAAAAATGGAATATATTGGTTGGGGTTTTATTATAAATTTTGATACTTGAGGGACAATGTGTAAATAAGAAATTACCAAGGATAGATTTTGTAATAAATAAAACTTTGCGGGCCCGAATATCATTGTCCTAGCAGGGTAGATAAATAGTTATTTATTTGCTGTTTTGAAATCCTTACGTGCGTTCAGAGCAATCGCGGAACGCAATTAATGGCGGCACTGCCAACTTCCACCGTGCGCACCAGCTGCTATTTATATATTATTCAATGCAAAAAATATATTTTCGCATTTATCTACTGTGCTTTATTCTGTAAAATTTCTATGGTTTATTCGGTAAAATTGCATTCATCTTGTTAATATTATTTGCATTTTTCAACTTTTAAGTGAACTTAAGCCGTTTGATTGATGAAGCTTAGACAAGATTAAAATTTTTATTTTATTTTATTTTCATTTATATTTATTTTATGAACTTAAAAGGGAGGTCTGATTTATGATTTTGCATGAATTATCTTTAAGAAGCATTCATTGATACTCACCATCTATTTATAGATAAATACAGAAGTATATGAGATGAGAATTTTCTAAAGCATGGCTTAGTTTGGCTTACTTTAAGATTATTTAATGACACATTCTCTCAATTATATATATATATATCTCCCTA